AATTTTACTCATGCATATTTGTTGTCAAAGATTTTATAATTGTTTTGAATGTTCTGCCTCAGTGATCGACTGTTTGGCCTGAAGTGTTGACCATAAAGAATAGTTTAGGCAACAATTAACCAACAGGTTTCTTAAATTTTCTCTCTGGAACAAGAATCAGCCTTTAAACTCGATTTCATACTTATAGTGAAAGACATTAAACTTTTCTCTTAATAACATTTTTGGCCATATCGCCCAGACCTACATAATAAGAACATTTTAGAACCTGAATGCACCTCAAATGCGTCTCTTAACAGAGTCTGGAAAATTATTACCCTCAATATTAATGTTTATCAATAAGCTCAGGCACACATCAGCTAATTATTTAGCACAATACACCCACACCTCTGTATAACATTCTTCAACAAAAACTTTCATCTTTGTCAGGCGGCTTGGGAAAAGCAGATCCAGGAGGAGGGGACTCCACTCAGCAGGTACTACAGCCAGTGGAAGAAGTTGAGGGAGAAGGAAATCCAACTGGAGATATCTGGCAAAGAAAGGGTAACTATCTTGCCTCATCCCACTCAGTCATCATGAATCACTTCTGGCTCTTTCTTTATGAATGTGTTACATAAATCATGAAACAAGCATTCTGTATAGTGGACTATTTTATTGGCAGAACAATAATTTGATGGTCATGATAATCGTCATTAACACCATGAAAGCGGCTTTGCGGATTTACCCTGCTGTTGTTGTGTTTTGTAAAGATGGAGGATCTGGACCTCCCGGAGATCAAACGTAGGAAGATTCAGGAGAAGAAGACGGAGGACAAGAAGGAGTTCAAGGATCTGTTCCAGTCTGACAGCGAATCAGACGAAGATGATGCAGGATTCAAAATCAAAGGCAAGCTGACACACACATACTTTTCACTCACACATAGAAATTGGCCTGCTTAAGGAGCCTCTAGGGGGCTGTGTTTTCTTACAGCCTGGTCTTCTATAGTGCAAAAGTTAAAGAGGTGATGACCGTTCAGTCTGACTTCTGGGCTGTTATCTTTTTCTGCAACAGGCACTATCTTATAAATTTGGCTACATTAAGCAGATCACCTGCAGAGCAGTTACCACAAGGTCCTGGGTTACTAAAACATCCACAGAGGCTGGGTCCTTCCCAAATCAATCTTAAGAGAAACTTCGGTGTTCTCTCCACAGAAAGGAACAGTCGTCCTGATCTTCCTTAAACCCCTATGTGTCCCGTTCTCTCTGGGTCGTCCACAGGTCACAGGCAGCTACAACCTTGCTTTCACAGCTTTGCACTCGGACACGCTCCAGGCAGACAAAAGCCCTCCACAAGGTCACAGAGGAAAGGAGTAGGCGGCAGGGGGATTTTTATTTTTTTTTATATGCATCTGGACTTCATTGTAGGGAGAGTCCCCACAAACGGATGGGCAGCTGCCGGCAAGCGGCGGGCCTCCGCCTCTCACTCTCTGTCCACCCCTCCCTCCCTTTTCGTTCGTCTTTCCTCCACCCCTCCTACCCCTGGCGCACACACACAAACTGAAACCCCCCGACAGGAAGTACAGGCTTGGATCCCAGCGGGGGTTCCTAATTCAAACCAGCCCAGTGGAACAGCCAGAGGTGGCCGCTCCCACTCCTCTCGCCCTCTTTCTCTCTTCCATTTGAGCTCTCTTGCTCGCTCTCTCTTTCTGGCTCTGTGGGCTTCAAGCAGCTGCCCCCGCATGTCCTCACAACACACACACACACACACACACACACACACACACACACACACACACACACACACACACACACGTCTCGATGATAGCACACAAACGCACACCCACCACCTTCCCGTCCAGTCTTAAAGAGCCAAAAGCGTTTGGGCAGCTCACCAAAGCTCTCTGTGGTCTCTCACACTCCCGGAAAGAGGGGGAGTGTGATAGGAGGGGGCTGTAGATTTAGATTGATGCGTTTGCGGTGGTGGTGTCAGTGTGTTGAGGGTAATATGTCTTCCAGGTCATTTGGGGGCAACCTCTTAGGTATTACCGAAGTCTACCAGCACCATGTGAGCAACAAAGAATGGGAGACGGTGAGAGTATGTTTGTCATCTTAAATTTAGATAGGAAAGGAACTACCTGATGTTTTAATAGATGTTGTTTATCTGTGTATGTGCACTTACTGTTGGAAATGCGTGTGTGTGTGTGTGTCTGCAGTGTAGCAGACAGAGGAAGTAGCTCTGTTTTGCTTCTCTTTCCTCCATGCCCCCAGCCTCTCATCACACCTCAACTTCAAAGCCCGTGGACCCCAGTTGTCCCTTTTGGCTAGACAACAAACACACACACCTTAAAGTATAGCAAAACACAAATTCAGGCAAACTCCCAGCTTCTCTCTGTCGCACACAAACCCACACCGGCGCGCACACACCGACTCTCCCATCATCATCGTAGCTGTGGAGCCTGCCTGCTATCTCCATTTGCTATATTTAGGCCGTGAGCACAAGATGTCTGAAATTGCCGGTAGTAAACTGTCATGGGTGTTTGTGCAGCAGCAGCGGCGTCTGTAATCGACTCTCAGTTCCATCTCAGGAGGAAATAGACACTTCCAGCTGCCTCTGAAGCCTGGCCCACATATAGGTGTCTCCCAAGTCCTCAGCCGTCAGCGATGCACCAACGCAAACTTAGGAACGTCTGAAGAAAGTAAAACTAGACACAATTCAACGCAGTGTAATGTTTTTTACTGTCTCCCCTCAGGTAAAAAATGCAGCCGTGGGTCTGATGAGGAGGATGATCTTGAAGATCTGTCTGACATGAGCGATGACGAGGGGATGGAGGGCGGAGACTCAGGTTGGTACAATATCAATGTCCAAATAAAAGAAGCATTCAGGTAACAAATATTTTGTTCTCAAACATTTTAAAGGTTGCTATCTGCTGTGTTTAATTCATTTAGTATCCGGAAGAGTCTGTATTGCTATATTATGTGCATGTCTTTACAGGCTTGTTAAGGCAGAGGCTGATGGATATTAGACTTTAGATAATTTTTGTAGAGCTGCAGTGTGAATCATTTTAGTAATTGGTCGAACAAACAAGCAGTTTGAGAATGTCATTTTGGACTTTGAAACTTGTCAGGGACATCTTTCACTGTGTTCTGATTGATTCTGTTTACAGACAAGTCGATTAATCAAATGTGTTGACGCATAAACAGATAATGAAAATGTGATTAAGTTATTAGTCACAGACCTTAATTTTTATATTGAAACGAGTAAGTCGAACTTTCAAATTAATAACCTAATGACTTCTTTAAATTCCTCGAAATTAATAATTTAAATACAACTTAACAGACCAGAGAAATCTATCCTGTAAAGTGTGTTAAAGGGATGTCAAATAAAACAGTGTTTTTAACTGCCAAAACATGAAATATATCCGTTAAGTCGGTCCAAAGGTATAAATGAACAAACTGGCGCAGCTCTAATTTTCACAATATCAAATGTAGCTTTATTAAGTGTTTTAAAATGACAAGTAGAATATTATTTTACTTTAACCTCCTCTGTTTTTAGTATTTGTAAACTAAATATGAACATTTATTAAATGGTTTATAACGCTGTAGTATGTATGTATGTATGTATGTATGTATGTATATATATTTTTTTTATTTAGTCCTATCAAATTAATTTGTGTGCCCATTCATACGTTCCCGTGTGGCTGAATATAAGGTTTTCTGTATTCTAGATGATGATGAGGAGGAAGGGGAAGCCTCCAAGGCTCCTCAGCCGCTGTCCTCCTCTGCTCTGATAAAGCTGGCAGAAGGAGACGAGGATCTGGTGGAGGACCTGGAGCTGTCCGATGATGACTGAGGTTCATGGATGCACACAGACTCAAGCTCACCTGAGAGACATTTGTGCTCTCTGCTTTACCAACCATCTAAACTTACAATGATATTGGACTTTTTGATATTTTCTTTGTACTGTACAGGTGAAGTAATACAAAATAAAACATGTTCTTGATGTAATTTTGACACTTTGAAATTGTAAAAAAATTCGCTTTTTTTAAATATGCTAATTAATTGAAGCGTGTACGTGCATGTTGATGCACGAGTGCACCTGAACAGAGTCATTTGTGTCTCCGTACATGTGCACACCTGTAGATACCCTCAGGCTTTGTGAGGACGGGCTATTTGGAGAGTGCTACGAGCCTCATCGAGCCGGCCAAAAGGGGAGGTGGGGGTACAGAGAGTGTTGAGCCCTGAGGCAGCAGTGCTGTGCCAGGCTGGCAGGGTGGCGTGTGATGCTGTGCCAAGACTCTCTGCCCAGGTGGTAGAGCAGCAACACAGGCTGGTCTGTTTCTGTGCCAACTCCTCACCCACCCCCACCCAGACCACTGTCTTTTCTGTCTGTGTATTCAAGTGCACAGACACCACTTTCCTCCTACCAACTTCTCCCCTTATTTTTTTCTTGGCTTCACTACACATTTCGGCAGCATTCACCGCCAAACTAAAGGTGATAATGGCCTTTTGTTTGGTGAGCAATTATAGCATGCATTCACTGGTGTACAATGCAGGCCAGATGAGTTGTATGACATGGATTTAAATGCCACAATGAAAATCTGACTTGAGAAACAATTGTGTCATCACATTTCTTCTGTAGTCTTTTTCAGTGAATATAGAACCTTCTGGTGCAGAGGCCCAGCCTAAAGCAATGCGAAGTCCCAGTAGATTGTGTAGACGTACTGCTTCAGTGTAAACTCTTTGAAGGAGGAAGGTAAGAGTGAGTGGGGGCTGGTTCTGGTCCTCTGTGTGTGTGTGTGGGGGGGGGGGGTGTCAGGTTTATCCCCACAGGCAAGGGAGGCCTTGGCCTGCGGCTGAACCTCACACTCTTGACAGCTAGTGGTGACCTGAACTGTGACCCCCATGGGTCACCTCCCCTTCACACACATTCTCCCTCTGCACGTTTTTACAGAAGAACCACAAACACCTGAGGAGGAAAAGGCGTATACAAGTTTTTTGACGCAGGAACTCAAGAGAAAGCAGAGGAATTTCTTAAGATTTATTTCACCTGTGTGGTGAATAGAAAAATAGGATGAAGACAAAACTTTTGAAGGGAAATCTAGAGACCATTCTTTAATTGCTTGTGTAGTTAAAAAAAAAAAAAAAAAAAAAAAATCCATAACAAATTCAAAAACATTTGCATTAAGAGCTTTGTGCCTTTCTTTTCCCTGCAACCAAGAGGAAAAAAAAGTAAAAGTATCTTTGGAATCCATTGTAAGGGCTAATTATAATAATACATATCATAATCTTTATCTACTACATCAAAAGTCCTATAAATATCTTTTTCCTCATATTTATATGCTGAAGTAGCATTCAAGATTGGAGCGTCTTAATATTACACTTTTTTTGAAAAAAAAAAAAATTGCAGAACAAAACAAAGTATGAACAAAAGTACCACCAAAGTTCAGCAAGTCACATTTTTCAGTAACAAAAACCTTATTCGTGCAACTACATTTAACAAAAAGTAAAAGTACCACGTATGTGTAACCTTCAGGATATTTTCACCTTAAGCATGATTCTGTACAATTTTGCATGGTTTTCCTACCTCCCACAGTAGTCACAACACAAGTGTACAATGGCGTAAGTCGTACACATCATGGCCGCCATTGAGGCTTCTCGGTTTCACCAACATTTTTAAGCGTCTGTTTGTCAGTAAATGACAGCTCTACCTGTGTCACCTCAATTACAAGTCCCACCATCTGAGGCACTAGCCTAGCATTTCCCTGTTGGACCAGTCTTTCTCTGAGACCAATAATGCAAAAAGAAGTAGACAATTCCACACATCCGGTCATCTTTGGTATCGGGACAGTGGAATGCATAGTTGCAGTGATAAAGAGGGAGCTGGTCAGATCTGGTGCTGCTCAGCATATGCTTCAACTCCAGCATCTAAAAAAGACGTTTGGCCTCGGGAAACAGGCAAGGAGAAGGAAGGGAGAGAAAAAGGGGGAGAGGCGTCTCTTTTTAATTCCTGTGTTCTGCAGGGCTTGTGGTGAGAGCAGTCAGAGACGGAGACAAGAGAGTGAGCCGAGCTTCCTCCAGCCCAGGAAGGAAGGAAGAGTTTCCGCTAGCGTCTGACTGTCTAACTTGCAAGAATGTTGCATTTGTGGCAGGGCTTTGCTCCCTTTATTTTTTTTTTTTTTTTTGGCAGGCTGTCTGTGACCAGCTGTCTCCTTTTCCTCCTTTTTCTCTTCCTCTGTCTCTTCACGTCTCCCTTCCAACCCAGTTTGTTTGGATTCTGCTCGGCTACAGCCACTGCAGAGGAACTCAGATGCTGATTTGTTTGTCGGATATGGTCCATATCGTCCAGTTGTCTTTTATTCCAGTCCAATATTTTCCCATAAATTTCAGCGTAAAGGTCCCAAGGTGGGGGAGTCAATCTCTCTGCCCCCCACCCCCCCACCCCCCTCTGGTTAGTTAGACGCAGGTCTGTCCTCCTCACCCCTGCCTGTCCACTCCTACGAAGGAGTTTTGGCCTCGTATCTTCCCACCACCATGGAGCCGTTTTCCTGCTTGGGGGAAGAGCACCCTGGGGTGGGCCCGCTGAAAGGAGAGGAGCTGCTGCTGGTGGAGGTGGGTCTGTGGGGCAGTGACAGAGACGAGGGCAAAGGGGTGTCAGATGGCGTGGTCAGAGGGTCCCGATCCCGCTCTGGGGGGCGCAGTATGGCAGAAGGCGGAAACGGGAACGCCAGCGGGAATCCAGTCATGTAGAAAAGTCTGCCAACACGCCGCGCCACCTGAGGAGTGGAGAGGAGACCATAAGACTGTCAGAACAGCCTGTCGAGTAATGCATAATGGACTAATGCTGTTAGAGAGAGAAGAAGAGAGGCTGTAGTCTTTGGGGCTGGCTACTTTAAGGGGAATAGTCTATGCTACGCTAGCAGTTTGTCTTGGGCCTATGGACAGAAACTCATTCAGACACACAAGTCCACTTGATCACACGCAAACACACACGCAGGTCTGTGGTGTGTGTGTACCTGTGTGCGGATCTTGAGCGCAGGCCCCAGCTTTAGTCCCATGGTGTTGAGCAGGTGCTCCTCAGTGAGCAGCGGTAATGTCTCTCCATCAATGGCCTGCTCCCGAAACACCTGGCAGAGACACAGCCGCTTCAGCCACAGCCCCGACATACACACAACACACTCAACCCACAGACCTACACGTTCATTCACACAACCTAAAAAACAGTGGCTCTATTCCAAAATGTTACATACCCATTTTGAGAGGGGGGAAAAAATGAGTTCAACATTTATACATCATAGGGGATGCAGTTGTGGAGACAATGTTGTCTAATAGGGTCTTAAGCAACATTATCTCTTAAAGGATAGGTTCAGATTTTTATCAATTGTCTCTTAATACAATATGCACGTGCTTCTATATACATTGGGTGTTATTGGTCACTAGTTTTTTGCATGGAACATAGATTGTGGATCTTGCCCCCCCCCCACATCTCTTACACTGGCATTAAGAAGGAACCCCTTCACACCACACCCAGCATTACAGCGACTAAAAGCTCTTTAAACATTCATATCATCATGTGAGCCTGTTTTAAGAAACTTGAAAAAAACTACCCTTTTCCTTAAAATGAGCAAATATTTTGCTATGTTCTATTTTGTTAAAGACGCACAGAAATATAGGTAAGATTGGTTCATGTTTCTCAAATGCTGGATATTTCATTTTGGAACAATGTGGCATATACACACACGTACACATTTCATTCACACAAGCTATAGGTGTATACCTACATGCACAGCTAACGCAACCTCATTTGCACAATGCCCACAAATATGGCTGCAATTGTGAACACAACCATTCATGTATCTGCACACATTCACTATAAACTTGAAAAAAACTCCTACCTAAATGTAATGACATGCCCTAAGTACTACAGTGGTGTTGCAGTATGTATTATATCTTGGTCACTGTTCTTCCTCTATGGTTAGTAGTTAGCCTGCCCCTGGCCTCCATCTCCTCCTCTCTCTCTCTTTCCTCACCTGTGTGTATTCAGCACATCCGGCCAGGCTGCTTATGAAGCCACACACGTCCTCCACACTCCACTTGCTGATGTCCTCCACAGGGTTTGCAGTGGCTGAGTCCTCCCCATCCATGAAAAGACCTCCCATAGAGCCTGAAAGAGAAGCAGTGGGTGAAAAGATGTGTCAATATAAAGACCGGGTACAAAGTTGTTATTAAGACTGAGGATCTTGCTGCTGTTGTGTTTTTTTTAGTGATGCAGAACCTGGAAAATGCAGAATTTGGAGACTCGTAAAATATTTTTAGCTGCATTTTAGAAAAATATCAGTGAATTTTCTTTTGTCCTTAGTCGTCAGGAGTTTGAGAAGAAAACCTTGAACAAATAGAGTAATCTTAGTAGTAACGATTAGTTTCATTATCAGTTAATCTGAGGATTAGGTTTAGTTATGTTAGAAAACTGTTAAAAATGCCCATAGAGTATTTTTTCAGCTTCCTAAATAGATATTCAGTGTATACTGATTATAAAACAGAAAAGCTGCAAATCCTCACGCTAAGAAGGTGGAATCAGTGATCATTTAATTGCTGAAGGTGCTCATGGTGGAATATGTTAGGATAAGGTTAGTTCATTTTAGTTTTCTTATGTTTGTATAGTATAAGTTCTGATTGCACCTGTGTTGCTACACATATGGACGTGCGTGTGTGCACAGTATTGTATGTGAACAAACCCCCCCCCCCCTTTCTTTCCACGTGGCTGTGCTGCTGGTGGTGTGCATAAAGGTCACACTGGGGTCAGAGGCAGGGCCCCTAACAGGGAGAGGTCTCCACACTGGAGACACGCACACAGTGACACTAATGGGTTTCACATGTCAGCTTTCGCCCTTATGTGTGTTTGTGTGTGTGTCTGAGTCTCTCACCTGTGTGAAAGTAGGGGTTGGCGTAGGGGAATCCAAAGGGCAACGACTGGGCGTGAAGAGCAGGCAGTGGTGGCATAAACCCAGGTGGCAGGTGGTACTTGACATCAGCCTTGCCCAGTACAGGGGTGAAGAGGTGGCGGCTGGGTGACTCTGTACCTGCTGAACTAGAAGGGGGGCTCAGCCTGCCTGAGCTCTCTCCAGTCTCCTTGGCATGTCACACACTCCCTTGCTGCCAGTCTCTTTACCACTGTCTCTCTCCCTGTCCCTGGGTTTATTGCTGGACTTGGCACTGACACTGTCCTGCCTCTCCTCACACATCTCTGTCTCACTGTCAGAGTCCTTCATCTCCTCATCATGCATCTCCCTGTCTTCCTCCCTTCCTCTGTTCTCTCTTCCTCCTGTGTGATCCCCAGCACGAAGCTGTGTCTGGGGCCCCCTGCGGGGGGCCTTTCTGGATTCAGCATCTTGCCCAGAGGTGGAGCTCTGTGCCAGGGTGTCTTTGGGTGTGGAGGGCCCCCCTGGTTGTTGCTGCTGGTGATGGTGGTTGAGGGATAAGAGGGGCGTGGCGGCCCCGTGACGAAGAACCAGCATTGCACTTGAGCGGCGAGCCAGTTCCTCACGGAGCGGATGGCCCTCTGGGATGTCGTGGAGGCTCCGCAGGGCTGGATGGTCGGGGGGAAGGCCAGGAGGTAGAGCTCCAAGAGGGTCGGAGCCCATAAGACGCTGCTGCTGTTGTCGCTGGTGGAGACTTTCTAACTCTTTCTGTCTCAGCAGTTCCGCCGACATCTCAAGTCTGAGGCAGTGAAACATACAGGGACTTAAACGTACAGGCCAAATGTTCAAAATTTCACATTTACTACTTAGTACAACATAAGCTGCTTGTGTATGTATACAGGAAAAACACATGACTGTCCACAAGTTTGGCTTATCCAAAACAAAATGTCCCACATTTAAGCTACTCTTAACTTTTAGCTACCATTATACATTGCTGCAATAATGACAGTTAATACATTATATTGTAACATTACAACACACACACACACCTGGCCAGGTTCTGCTTCCTCAACATCTCCTGTTGCCGGGCAAAGATCTCTGCTTGAGCTGGTTGAAGGAAACCATAACCTGTCATAGAAACAGCAAGATAATACACACCTGTAAGCAAGAGACATGTAAACTCCCAAATGTTAAAGTGGGGAAATAATCTATACGAAAACATATTAAAAAGTGACCGATGTTACCAAATGGTACTCTGCCTGAAAACACTCATGCAACCTAACATACCTTTATGAAATCTAAAAATATATAATTGAATCCTCTGGTTAGATGCAGAGCCATGGAACCTTCTACGTACCTGCTAAGCTATATGCATACTCACTGGTGCTATGCATTAGCATTAAGCATTTAGCTTTAGCATAATTGATGACTCACCAGGGGCCTGGCAAAGAGCTGAGTGCATGCCCAGGAAAGGAGGCCGCAGGTGAGGTCCTAAGGCGATGTGAGGGGCTGTTGGAGGGGACAGTAGGGGTGGAGGGTGGGAAAGTTCTCTGTGGACACAAAATGAAAAAGACAACATTTAAGTTCAATTTGGATTTCACTGGATTCTTTAAAATGTCAGTAGCATATAGCGGGGGGGGGGTTTATGTATAATGTATGATTCCCTATGTTAAAAGACTAGCTTGAATCATTTTGATTTTCCTCTGCTCTCAGTACGTCAATGCTTTTTCTATGCATGTGTGCATGCTGCCACACCAATGTATGCAGTGTATTTTTATCAGTGGTGCTCCAGAGGCCCTCGTGTCGCCCCAGTGCCTCATCAGTCTTGTCACGCCGCAGCAAGCGCCGCTGGCCATTGCTGTACCCTGGACTGCAGCCTTTGCTTCCCCTGCCGCCTCTCACACACACACACACACACACACACACACACAACTCTAGAACCACACACATAATGAGGGCTGAATGCACAATGCCAGTGTGTCATGCTCCGACAGCTGGGGCAGCCTCTACGTCTTGACCAGGGCCATGGGCTGAAGGACCTTCTAATTAACACTCATCCCTCCACTCTTCTCTCCCTTTTTTACGCCCTTCTCTCTGTCCCCCTCCCTTTCTCCCGCTCACTCTAGGCTGCATTGAAACCGGTGAAAAGATGGAGCGTCCTGCAACCTCTGCTTCTGAAAAGGCCTCTCCATTATTAGCTTCGTCTTTTGTCCTCTTTCAGGGGGAAAGGCGCCTCTCACCTTTCTCACTCTCTCTCCATCTCTTGTTCTGTCTTACCCATCTTTTTTTCTGGTCTTTACTCCCGTCTCTCTACTTCTCTATGACCTCTGAAATTCTATCGTGTTCACTCCTTTCTTTTCCTCCACTTTTATATTTCTTTCACCTCTGTATTTTTCTCTCCCCTCTTCATCACTCCATCTTATCCCCTCCCCTTACCCCAGCCTTGTCTTGCCTCTTTGTATTTCTTTCATTTTCTATCCCACTTCTTTTTTTCACCAATCCTTTATCTCATTCTACCCCTTTCTCTGAGTTTTGTCCACATCTTTTTGCATACAGGGACATGGTTATGAAGACACAGATAAAAAGCTGCCAGAAGAGTAAAGCATCTGCACCTTGACCCTTGGAAAGTGTCAAAGTGCGTATGGGTTTGAGCCTGGAGATGATGCTGCCTGCCCACTCAGGCCCTGGAAACAGCTGTGGTTTCAGAGCTCACTCTCTTGCTTCCTACCCACACCTCTCCTCTTCCTTCCCTTGCTTCTCCTGAGCTAGTGCTATCACACCAATCAGAGCTCAGCTGTGAGCGACTGCCGCTGCACAAAAGCATACATAGGAAACAAGCTGAGGAAAACAACAAAATCAAAACCAACAGTGGGACGCATGCAACCGCAAAATATTGTTTTGCAAACGTGTTCAAATTAGCTAGCGCCTGCATGTCTCCTGCCTCCACTAAATGGTGAGGGAAAAGGGGAGAGGAACTGCAAGGAGGGAGGGCACGCACAGAAGAGCGGGGGGGTGTGTGTGTGTGGGGGGGGGGGGATGAAAACCACTCATCGATCGCCTCCGCCGCTGAAATGTTAATGCTAATCGTATAACCGCTCTCTCCGGCGGTGCCTCGCACTCCAGTGGCAGCTCCAATTAATCTTGGGTGAGGGCTGCGGCGCGTGACCCCGGAGCCGCGAGCCGGGGCCCCGCTAGCCGCTGCTTATGTAATTACACCGCCCAGTGTGTAATCACCTGGCCTAATCCCTCGGGGCTCGCAATTAGCCTCGCGACGCGCAGTTCCACTAGGCTACGCTAAGGCGCCCGCAAAACTCCCATCCACCAAGGCTCCCGCATGCCAAACTCCCATCACCCCCCTGTCTGATATTCCCTCTCTTTCTTCCCCTCTCCCTGCACCGCCTACCCTTGCCTAGCGTTAGCCCGCAGATGAATAACGGTCAATTAAAGCTGCATGACTGGGGCTGCCAGGCGTCTGCGCCGCCATAATTAGGCCTAATCACGGGGAGTAAGAGACGGCAAGAGAGAGAGAGTGTGTCTGACACTCCCCTCCTCTCCCTTCCTCCATCTCTCCCTCTCTTCCTCCTTTTATAGGAGGCAATTTTAAGGGAGGAGTGGCAGACATTAAGCGTTTTGCTCTGGGGCTGTGTGTGTGTGTGTGTGTGTGTGTGTGCATGTTTGTCTGTGTGTTTGCGAGGTTTTCTTTTAGCCGTATCTGTGCATTTTGTTGGCAAACCACGAACATGCTATAAAAAGACGAGGCAAGAACTCTTACCTAGTTTTTGCACGAGACTGCTGAAAATAGGTAGATTCACAAATGCAAGGTGGGCTCATAATTACGCAAAACTATCTCACTGGTCTCTCTCTCTCTCTCTCTCTCTCTCTCTCCCCCCCCGCCTGCAGTGAGGCCAAGGGCTCCTGGGGAATTCACTGGTGTGTGACGACCTGTCAGAGTGGCGACAGCAGTCCTGTCCCGCAGCAGCCCAGGCTGTGTGTGTGTGTGTGTGTGTGTGTGACAGGGCTGCCCTTAATGACGGGAGCGTGGGGGGATTAGGAGCGCCGCGCGGCCGCCCTCGGCTCCTTCTCCGCAGGAACACATTTACACAGGAAGCTCATTAAAATGGATGAGGCTCCCTCCACACTCACTCACTCTCTCTCTCTCGCTCTCCCTCCCCTTATCGCACACTCTCCATCTCCTCCCTCCTTATTTTGGTTCCTATCTCTTTCTCTCCGTCACTACCTCCTCTCGCCATTTCCTCCCTTCTTCTTTTGCTCCCCTCTCTTCACCCCCATTTTAAGCTCCCATGTTTTCCACTTCTCTCTCCCCTTCTCTCTGCTTTTCTCCATCCCTCCTATTTGCCTTGCAGATGCTTGGTGAGCTTAGTGCCATTTAAGGCCAGACAAATGCAGCGCCAGGCTCTAAGCCCATCGAGCGGCCCTAATGATTTGTTTTTAACAATGGGCCCTAATGGGCCCCAGATAATCAATGATGAGGGGTCGATGGAAAGGTGAGCCATGGAGAGAGTTAGTGAGGGGGAGAGCTTCCATCTCTTACTCACATTCTCAGCCTCTCTGTTTTTTGCTTTTACTCACCAATTATCTGGATTTTAATTTTCTCTTCACTTTGCACTTCTTCCACTTTCTGGTCTCGTCTTAATGTTCTCCAGCTTGTTTTTGCAAGTTCTGTATATTTCATGGGGGGGAGGGGTACTTTAGACCCATGTACATTACCTAAAAGTATGTGGACATTACACCCATGTTAGATTGTTGTACATCTCATTCCAAACCTATGGGCATTACCATAACATCCATCCATCCATCGTCCTGTGTACAGGGTCGCAAGGGGCTGGAGCCAATCCCAGCTGACATTGGGCGAAAGCCGGGGTCATTACCATAACAATTCTTTAATAATGTAAATATTGTACATATCCACACTCCTTTATATTTTTATTTATTTATACTATTTTATTTATATATTTCTGTACCTACCTCTTCCTATTATTTCTATTCCTTATGCCTTGATGTGCAATGTGTGCAACTGTGACAAAAGAATTTCCCCTTGGGGATCAATAAAGTATTTCTGATTAATATGCTGCTTTAACAGCCTCCACTCTTCTGGGAAGGATTTCGACAAGATTTTGAACCTGGCTGCAGGGATTTGCTCCCATTCAGCCACAGGAACATTAATGAGGGTTGGCTCTGATGTTGGGCAATACGGCCTGGCATATAGTCTGTGATTCAGTTAATCCCAAAGGTGTTGGATGGGGTCAGGGCTCTATGGAGGTCAGTCAAGTTATTTCACACCAAACTGGGAAATCCATTTATTTATTTATGGCATTGTCATGTTGAACACAAGGAAGCATTCCTGTCACCACTAGGTTGGAAGCACACAACTGTCAAAAAGATAATTTTATGTTCTCACATTAAGATTTCCCTTAATAGGAAGTAAGGCCTAGCCCAAAAATAATAAAAAAGAACACAAAAGTATGTGTCCATATCCTTTTTATACAATCCATGAACATTTGGTGAATGTGCACACGAGTATATACAAGCAAAAAAATCACAGGTCTTTTTTCCCTTTTTCTTGCATTCTCCCGTTTGGTTCAGTGGTTCAACTGACGGAAAGGGCACTTCAACATGTTTTTCTCATTAACCCCTCTTTTTTTTATTCACATAGTGGGAGTGAAAGGGTTAAAGAGGAGGCGGGGGAGGTAGAGTGGGACAGAGAGAGGTAGAGATGGATGGAGCAAGGGAGGCGGAGGCCTAGTTAACTCTCCCTGGTCCTGTGTGGCTAATTACTCTGTGCTGCCGGAGAACAGCCGCGGCTCACTGACTACCTTCACACTGCAATACTGGCCTCTCTCTCTCACACACACACAAATAGCGGACATTCACACAAACAAACCCAATTTCGGTCCACATAGATGAGCATACATGCAGTCCGCCAGCTTGAAACGTGAACAATCAGCCCCCCCTCCTTGCCTCAACACGCACACACAGCATATACACCCCCACAGCCTCCCAGAGCTGCACCACACAGCGCCTGGCCGCTCTGCTTCCATCCCCACACATACCCCTCACCACCCCCTTCTCTGTCTCACACACACACATACCCCCCCCTGCTGCCGCACCGCCGGCCCATTATCGATCCCCCGCCTCTCTCCGCGCCACATAAATAATCGACAAGCAATTACCCGCCCACTCCCGCTGCCCCCGGCTTTGTTTGGGAGGCGCAGGGGCCAGCACTGGGGGGGAGAGGAGGGAGGAAGAGCCGGGGATGCAGGCGTGCAGCTCCACAGTGGTAGCCAAGAGGTTATTGGATCCTTAGTTTAGCCATGTATGGGGAGATGCACATTCACTGACACACACAAACATGCACAGCGGCTCACTGAAAAAGCCAAATATGAGATCAGATCTTGCTGAGGACGCTAATAATGAGTGGAAGAATGGAAAGAAAAGCACAGTGGTGTGGTGATGCAAACTGGCAGGTTGTTCTGTTGTGTACATTGTCAGGTGCACTGCTCACATCGACTGGAGCTTCTTATGTAATAATTATATATATGTGTGTGTGTGTGTGTGTGTGTGCATGTGGGTGTTGGGCTTTATTAATGATGAATGCTGCTGTTTGCAAGCAGGACGGGCTTGCAAGCGAGTGTGTGTTTGCATCTGTGTCTTACCTGTCGGTGTAATGTGCGTCTCGGTGCTGCGGCAGACCCTGCTTGCGTCTCTGGCTGGATGAAGAGGAGCTTCCCGCCGAGGGCAGGTGAGCTTCTAAGGCCGCCGGATTCCTCACCGCTGCAGCCAACGCCTCCTGACGAGCACGCAGCATGTCTGAATAAAAAAAGCAAAGAAGGGACGAAGACAGGGAAAGCACAGAGGAGGGAGAGGGATGGGAAAATAGAGTTGACATGACAAAGATGATGAAGGATTAAAAGTTGAGGCAAAGAGGACATAAAAGATGGAGAAAAAAAAGCAGAGAGGAGGGAAGAATTGAGGGGGAACAAGGGGAGAAAACAAATTTAGTATCCTGCCGCTCACATCTATGCTAAGACATTAACAGAAACGCAGCTTTGTATAGAACATTTGGAACAGAAAATCCTACTGAATATACATTTTACTAGCTCAGAGCGCATGACTTACTTTAAGTGTTGTACATTAGCTGTATATGTGACCATTACAAGTTATCAGGCAAAATAGCAGAAGTGAAGCATACTTTAAAAAGTTGTTCATTGTCCTGTAGCGAGGAATGTGAGGGCTAAGTATGCAGATAGCTCATGAAAACTCCCCTCGGCTCATTCCACATTAATGCTGAAAATGATTGTCATGCATTTTCTAATCCCCATGTTACAGCCATATACACGTACACACACACAGCCACATAAATGCACACACACTGAACAAGGATAAACAAAACAGACATTTTGGCAGAGGTGTATGAAATTAGCACATAGCGCTCAAATCCATCTGTCACACTTTGGAACTGAGCTGACCAGTTTCAAGCAAATGTGTGGAAAAATGAAAAAGCTAAAAAAGATGGCATGAAAAATGACCAGTGGCGGAAGAAGTACTCAATTTTCATACTTAAGTAAAAGTACAGATACCACATGAAAAATGTTACTCAAGTAAAAGGAAAAATCATCCAGTATAAAAAAGCAATCAATCTTTTTAAATTCACTCAAGACAGGTTTGAACACAGCAGTGTAAATTACAGCGAATCACAACAAGGAAAAGGACAAGTGGATATTTCCCATACTGTGGGAGGCTAAGCCCACGTTATTGCTCTGCTGTTGTGGTAGTATCATTTGTTGGAGCGGCAACGGTTCCATTAGGGTCTGAGATGCTTGTATCTGATGCTGGCTGTGCTCATATTGGCTGAGGCTGCTTGTACTTCACCTGGGTCTGTGGGACCTGCTAAAGACATCTGTGCTAGTACTGGGTGAGGCTGGATGTGAATCAACTGTGCTACTGGGTGATGATCCCACATCTACTCTCCTGACAAACATAAGCATAACCACTGTAAATTATAGATATTTTCTATATATTAACGTTATCAGCTGCATCAGGCCCATTCAAACTGGCTCCTCCAGGTTTCATTCAATAAATTTTCAAATATTAAACACTATTTATAAAATGACATGGCTGAATATGTGATGCTTATTTACTGAGATGTGCATCTATACTGCCCAGTCTATCCCTCTTATCAGCATTTTAATACTCAATGTGAATCCACTGTCTTGTTTGTCAATGATGTGCGCTTATGAGGAGTACCATCACATCCTGTCTGGACTGGTCACACAGATGTTTCTTACTTGAATGTGTGAGTTTACTTTCGTGCACGTGCATACGAACGCATCTCCATGCGCAACGCGGTATTTTTTTCCCAACTTCAGTTTATAGAAACAGTGGCCCGTCAGCATTTATCAAACGTAATAAAAAGTTGTATTTCACACTACCATTGTTCAGACACAGACAGGCAAGAGATGCGCTGCTCTGCTGGTTAACAGTGTCACGCAGCTGCACATTAACTTAACATTACTGTTATCTGCTGACATACCTTGAGAGGAGAGAACACAGGTTTACCTGACTGATGTTCCCGCAGTTCACTCTCATTGAGTTTTTTCTCTTCTCGTACTTAGAAGGATAGTCCCTCTTCATCCTCTCATCAAAGTTGTAAACTCGCTTTCACCTTTGACACGAGAGTGAGGCAGGGCCGTCCAGCTCTGTGCGAGAGTGACTTGATTATTATTACTGTGTGTGCTGGTGTCGTATCAGCTGGGCAATGATAATTCCCGCAGGATTGGCTTTATCATTTTAACATTTGTTTTCACTGCTGCTCCACTCAAATGCGCTGCATGCCAATAACAATGTAAGGAGGTCTCATACAGAATGTAACGGAGTATGTGTCGATGTTTGGCTTAGAAATGTAGCAAAGTGAAAGTAAAGAGTTGCAACAACTAAAAATACTCAAGCAAAGTACAGATACGGACAAAACAACTGAAGTATAGTGACGAAGTATTTGTACTTACTTGTTACTTTCCACAACTGAAAATGATGGTGTGGGATGATGTTTTAAAAACACTTAATGGCCGGTGTGTTTTTGTAGGCTACAAGTGGGCAAAAAGCAACTTCACATGTCAGGCACAGAGCGTTTTCACCCCTCCCCATCTACCTTCTCCCTCCATCTCTGCCTGTGTCCTCTCTTTCCACCTTCTGCCCTCTACCCCTCGCCTCATTCCACCTCTTTCTTCACTCATTTCCTCTCTCCCTCTCCCAGCAACCCTGGTTCTGAGAGAGAGAGAGAGAGGCCTCATCATTATCAGCCAGGCCAGGCCACACCAGGAGACATGGCTTCTAATGAGAGAAAAATCCATCCTGCCCCCCCCCCCCCGCTCTGCCTCAATCTATCTATCCTCTCTCTCTGCTCTTCTCTGCCACCCTCCCCACCCCCTCTTTTTTAATTAGACAGATCCCTCGGGAGCTAGGGGCCATTTCCGCCGCCGATACGGGTGTGACGTGTGTTTGTGTGTGTCTGTGTGATTTAGGTGCTTGCATGTGCGTGCCTGACTGCGTGTGTGCACGTTTGTGTGTGTGCTGAAGCAGTTGAGCAGGCGCCGGGGTGGGGGGGTGAAGCGACAGATATTAATGCGGCCTAGCTCCGGTGTATCGATCTGTTTGCTGCGCCAGGCCGCAGGGGACTCGGCTGGCGGCAGACAAGGGTGTGTGTATGTGTGTGTGTGTGTGTGGGGGGGGGAGATAAGGGAGGGATCAGAGGGAACCGGAGCCCTAGAGCGCACACACAAACACAGTCTGTTGTGCACTTGCATACATGGTGCAGGGGTGACAGGGTGGAAGAGCTGACCTCTATGAGTTTCCTGTAGTCGCAATCCCACCTCACCAATTATTTTCTATGACTGGGTCAGTTAAAGGTGTACTCAAGCGATTTAGTATTGTACTTTCATAGTTTTCATAGTACTTTCAAGTTTGGGGACTATCAAGCGAAAGATTGAGGGGAAAAAAGAATGGTCAAAATCGATACTGCAAAGCCAGAGGTGTCCTGACTATATTGCAGCCAAAATATTAAACAAGGAAGAGACCCAGACTCTGGGCTGCAGACTTTAATTGGGATCGAGCTCTAAAAACGCTGAAACCTACACTTCCCATAATGCAACTCAATAGAGTCTTTTGCTCATCTCCCCCTGCCTTGTAAACACCAGTTTGTAATGCAGGCTGTGTGTTAAAAATGAGTAGTCTCCAAGACATCACTAAGTGACTTTGACCAGGGCCGTAGCCAGAAAAATACTGAGGTTGTAAGTACAAAATCTACTAGCTGAACCCCAGTGACCTAGGCCACAAACCAAACTGTGAACATTTATCAAAAAGTCTTAAAATGTTACATTTTCTGAAATAACATCACTGTTAATAAACTGTAATAACTGTTGTACTGTAATAAACATTTAAAATGTTAAACCTTCTTTACACGGTTAGGCTAAAAACATGAAAATCAAGTTTAAAAACCCAGGATGTGAGTTATCAATGGTATCCCTGACTTAGTCGAGTGCCCCTTTAAACCCAGACAATACAAGCTGTAGATAGGCCAATTTATAATTCTCTGTTGAATCTACGCCATAGCCTGATGCACACATCCCCAAAAATGTAAATACATGGTCGCTGCGACGCAGACCACAAGAACTGTGATTGGTCAGCCTGGTACCATTGCGTTTCCTCCAGGATTATGATTTTATCCCCATTCAAATTAGCGGAGGGCTAAATTGTAAGTTAGCCGGCTCGAGTGGCAGAACTCAACGCAGTGGAACATGGAAACCCCACCGCCAGCTAGCGTTTTGGTGGCATGGCTATGTGTGTACGCCGTAGACTTGACGCAGAAGTATAAATTGGCCTATAAATGGTAGAAATTCAAATTTATTTTTTAGTTTATTTTTTAGGTTTTTTCTATTATTTCTTTCATTTCTCCTCTTATTGCATTCTATTTGAATCCAGTCCATGTTTGTAAAACTTTACTCCACAATGGGTCCATATTTTGCTTCCCCCCCTCCCGCTCTCTCTAATTCTCTTTCATGTGAACTGAGAAGACCATGGTCACCTGGGGCTCTACCCTTCTGTGTGTGTGTGTGTGTGTGTGTGTGTGTAGAAAACAGGTTCAGGATTTCCCCCACTAAAACTCTTGGTGTTGCAGCTGCAGGAACACAAGGGGAGAGTCCCTCCAACTGCAAATTAGAGTCCTAATTGAGGACACACAAACACGCACACACACCCACACTCCTTTGCATGAGTTATTTCGGGAGGTCCCAGTTTACCACTCGGACCCATCCTGCTTATCCCTCTTTTGTGCCATCCCATTTTTCTCCTGCCATCATTCCTGGAGTTGGGCCTAAATCCCCTCGGTTAAGCCGTGTTTTTCTCGCCGTGAGAATGCAGAGGACCGCTGCACTGATACAGCTTGCCCGGCCTCATGATGGATTTGGTGGACTGGCAGGTACACAAAAGCCGACATCCGTCCGCTAAAGCGCACCATACACCAGAAAATTAAGTATCTTTTCAGGAAGAGGTATTCAGCCAGTATCACAGGCTTAGCCAGCAGTAAATATGTGGCAAGTTTGTAGCACTGAATGTCTTTGACTGTCTGTACTTTGACCAATCACATGCTGGAGTTTTCAGGCTCTTTGGAATGATGATGATAAAGAGATGTTGAGTACAGCTTCATGTTTCAAATCAGACATAACTGCAGGAGACAAAACAGAAGAACCCCCCTTCCATCCTGCCCCTCCCTTCACTTTCATCTGGATCTCTACCCCCACCTCTCTTTTTCTTTTCTCTCTCCCCCACTCTCCTTTCATCATATGAAGCCCTCCCGGCCATTTCTACAACCCCGCCACTCCTCCACTTCCACCCTCAACTGCATCCCCCCCTCCCTTCTTTTGGTCCAGAGAGAACCTCTCAAGCAGCACCTTGCACCTACACATTCACACAAACACACAGTTCCTCCTCACCCCTGCCTCTTTCACGCACACACGCACTTTAATTTTCTGTGCCCTACACTTCAAACACATGAAAGGATGCTCTGCGGGGACCAAGGCTAAAGGGAAAGTTGGGGGTGGGGGTAAGGAAAAGGAGGAGGGGAGGGAGTATAAAAGCAGTGCTTGAGATGTATAGGAGAGATGGTGGGGGGGGGGGGGGGGCACAGGGGCCGCATTGGAGACCAGGTCAATGTTAAGGGGCTCTCACTGAAGTGATTAGCGTCGGCCTCTCAAGAGACAAAACAGCCGTCACCCTGTCCCCAACTCCTATACTGTTTGTGTCTGAGAGTGTCAGTTTCTTAACAAGCTCCAACTGTTAATTGGAGAAGGGGAGCATGTGAAGGTGTTGTTATAATACGTTTTCTACATAAACTTGTAAGCAGTCGGTGGATAGATGGAGGAAGTTGCCAGGTGTGGAAGAAAATAAATATTAGCAACACCCAAGGCTTGGCTGTCAGGGAGCATTGGCAAAGCCTGTGATGCCCACACGCGCAAAACACAACTGTGGATGTAAACACATTATTACACTACTTTCGCTATAAGGAAATCTTACCGTAAAGTTGCATTTAAGTGCGTGACCTGTGCATCATTAATAAACCGTAAACTTGTATGCATGTGGTTTATTTCCCTTGACTTCTTTCTCCGGGAGATGTTATTTATTCACTCTTCCCTTGTCTCTGTTCCTCCCTCATTTCCTCCTCGGGTTTTTTCTCCTATTCCTGGTTTCTCTTTCTCTTCTTCTGCACATAGAAAGCTTTTAAGTGCGGCCTGAAATAAGAATGCACGAGTGCAGAATAAAGGATAGCATGGAAACTATCAAACGATTTGGAATGTGGAAGTGAAGAAATGGAGCGAGTGTGTCTGTATTGCGCCAGAGCGTCGTACCAGCAAGGCTTCTGGGAAAGGAAGCCAGCTATCAGACTGCACCCTGGGCCATAAAATCCCCACAATGCACCACATCTTGCCTCTAACTCCTCTAAGACATGGGGAAAAGGCAATTAAAGCGTTTATAGGCTTCGCCCCCTAGATTTGCAGCCAGCAATTAAAAATCATTACTAATCAAATAAAAATAAAAGTAGCTCAAACTACAATATGTCTGGGGCATCGATTGGATTTATGCTACTGTGAAAGAGCTCATAAAGACTGGTAGGACTTAATGTTACATTCTTTACAAAAATGTGAGAAAAAGGATAACATTTAATGGCAGGCACAGTGAAATGAATATAAAACCAGCTTATAAAATCCAAAGGAGGCAACGTTTCTCGTTCTTTTTCCCTACCAAACTACAATTCTCTTAAGCTAAAACCAGTCAATTTTATGTGCCTGAGAAAAACTGGGGACACTCTGGTGGTTTTCAGGGTGTTGGGAGATTTAGAGGGTTGGCAGGCAGCCAATGAGAGCTCCCGGATCAATCGCGACATTGATGCATGCGAAGGCTTGTGGGTGTTGTTAACAACGGAGAGCCATGGTGGTCAGAAATCATCCCGAGTGACACCTGGACACTTGGGGGGGCAGCGCACTGCAAATAGAAATGTCAGCCGTCTCCATGGCTGGGGTTTTTGGTTTTTACAGTGGCAGCAGTGTGGCACACCTTAACATGTACCCTGAACACAGTGCCACACACTGGGGTTACAAAGTAGCACTGCATCTCAGTGACTTGGTGACAGGTGATGGAAGAGTTGTTTTTTATAGAAGCTAGTGAAGTGCCTCCAAAGGAAACTGTCTTTTTGAGGTAAATTTCAAGTTACTTCAAAATAAAGAAAAAAAACTAAAGGGAAAGTACCTCTATCTCTTTCAGGAGTCAATTCTTACTGGTAGAGTAGGAAACGCTATTTGGAAATCAACTGCACTCTGAGGTATATGGTTTAACAAGATGAGTGCACTGCAGATATCTGAAAGCTGATATGATGACAGCGAGGATGACGATGACCACACACACATATAAATACATAATAAATAAATACATAAATACAGAGTCTGTGGACTGACCGTGGCCAGGCAGACCCATGCTGCTCGCAAGCTGGTAGAGGCGTTGCTGCTGTTCCTCATAGGATCCTTGCTCGCTGAGCGCTGACATCATGCGCCTGTAGTGCTCCTCAGGGCTCATGTGGCCGTGGCTGCCGCCTGCCTCTACCACTGGGCTCTGGGAGTTCTCTGAAGAGAGGAGGGAGACACTCACATTATGACCAATCAGTGACAGCTGATCTGCAGGGGATAAAGACTAACTTGAGACTGTAGGCTCTGAAACTCCATTAGCCTTACACACTGAACTATCTGTTCAGGATATGATTAAATAATTCATCTCCATGTCAGTCATGATTGTGAGGAATCTGCCTCAAGCAAATACTCGCCTAAAATTTACTACACAGCCAGGTCACAGGTTTGGGGTTTCAATACCTTAAATAATTTCAGGATATCACTCACCCGAACATAGAAGACTTCTGTTTACCAGCTCGGCAAACTTTACCCAGTTTATCAGTTTACCCCAAAAGGACAAGGGAAGCACTAATTCTAATACTAGTGAGTCCAACTTTTTGTGAATGGGGGGCTCACTCACTTCTTCTCAGGAACCAGTTTGCATATTTTGTAATGGGGAATGTTTTTCTGTCGTATTTTGTGATTTTGGCCGATACGACCAGCATATTTTTAGGAAAAAAATCATTCCTTATGCAGTTCTAAAATCATCACAAAATGCAATCAGGACACATTGCCGCTGTAAACACAGAGCAAAGAATTATCGAGAATTAATTTTACACCCTTTCTGTCTTACATATGTTTGATGATTACTGCACTCTCTGATATGCATCCTTCCTCAGCTATCAGCTGAGGCATAGACCATTCATTAACAAGGCAGCACTGATGGGCGGAAACGTCTTTGGTTGAAGCTATAGTCATACAGCCATGCATTGTTAATGGTCTGAGCCTGACCCTGACACAAACTCACCATTTCTCTGACATGAACCACAGCAGTAACATCGGCATGGGGTGAAAGGTTATACATAGGGCTGTTTTCTTGTGCTGTATTTTGACAGTTTTTAATGCAGGCTACAAAAAATAGGCTCAGCTTCTTCCACCATGTCTGTGAATACGTGCGTGTAGTACTGCTGTGCTGTGTTTAAGGTGTTCTGTGAAGATGATGCGGTCTATGGTATCTATCTGGCTGTCATTCCCCACACTTAATCTCTCTCTCTGACCTCCCTCCTCCCTCTTTCTGTCAATAGTAACATGATCTAAGGTAAGGTAAGGTGGGGGCTATGGGGAGGTGGTTAGGGAGTTAGAAGAGGGAGAAAGAGGATGAGAAGGAGGAGGGAAAAACAGAAGAAAGCGGGGTTATTTTTACCGCCCTGCTTCTTATTGAAACCTGAGCCTGGCCCCGGGCAGGCGAGCAGGAGTGGCGCTGAAGAGCGGAGGTGGGGTGGAGGTGGGGGAGGAAGCGAGCGCGCAAGCATCTCTGTCTCCACCGCCAAGCTCCAGCTAATCCACCCAAGGTCCTCAAGTGTATGTGTGTGTGTTTGTGTGTGTGCGTGTGCGTGCAACTAGTCTGTGCCTGTCTAAAGTTTTCTCATTCTCTAAACACAGCAGGGGGTGCCGACTTTGCAACAGAAAGAAAAACAGACATCATTTACACAGCGGCGTCAAAGCTCTCTGGCTCCATCCATATGCTTCCCTCTCCATCTCTCTCTCTCAATCTATTCCTCCACCTGCATTAATCATTAAGGGATAGTGTATGTCGCCAAACTTGGGAGGCAAGAAGATGCAAGACGCATAGATTACACACATACAGGTGCAGAGTCAGTGTTTGGGTGTGGGCAGAGCTCAAGGTTAAGACACAGGATCAGCAGTGTTTTGAAATGGCTTAAATGCACTTCTCTGGACAGCATGCTGCGCACGCACTTACACACAAACTTCATCTGTCCCCCTTATGCAAATATACAACATGGGAAGAATATATGCAAGGCGTAAACAGAGGTTGTTTGCGTTAAAAGTCAAAAAACTAACCACACAGGCACAAAAACACAAGCCCCATTTGCCTTAAAAGGAAGCCAAGCCTAAGTACACAAACACAGATAAACACACACACACAGTCTCTGACACAAAAACACATCCATAAAAACCCATGCATCTTTCAGAAGCAGGCTTGTGTCTAAGTAAGACTATAATAGCTAGGATGAGTACAGAGGAAGGGGCTCCAGGCAGGGCTGCTGCCGGTCAAAGGTCACTCAGAGAGCAAAGGTCAACACCAGGCTCCTGCGAAGCTCTACAATCAGTCTGACCTCCAAATGAACACTCTCACTCGCCTATTTTATTTTACACAGAACGGAACCATCATAAAATAACAATTTTACTCACAGCTGAAATAATCAGAGCTATTTGTGTCACTGTAGGTGTGCAGCTTATGTTGTTCGGCTTACATATGCACCTGGAGAGTGTGTGCGCGTGTGTGTGTGTGTGTGTGTGTGTGTGTGTGTGTGTTGTTCAGGTGTCTTCAGAGATGAGGCTGGTTGTGCGGTGAGCTGCCCTTGGGTTTGTGGTTTTGCCTGCTGTATAATGCATCAGTCAGGAAGTCTTCCTCAGGAGCCCAGAGGGACAGGCCCAGTGGCTTTGTGCCGGTTCCACGCCGGGCGCCCGGTTTCACGCCACACGAATGAGCTATGAATAATAGAGGATGGCGACCAGATTGCAGCGCTACAGAGGGAAATAGTCTGGCCAAGGTGTGCCTTCTCAAGGTCCGTTATTTATGTTCTCATGTCGTATTCAGAGCAGAAAAAAATTAACAATGAAATGTTTATATTAGGAACCCGCTGCAGAAATTATATTATTCTATCAACCGGGGATATTATCTTAGACATCCTGTTAAAGGGTCAGTTCACCCAAATCCCAGCCTTCATTGGGACTACATCTCTGGTAGAAAATGGTTTAAATGTGTGTTTGCTTGCATGTAAGGCAGTGTGTGTGCTTGCTGACAGACCAGACAAAGCCTGAATTCATAAGTTTAACAAATCTGCATCATATTGTAGTTATCTCGGCATCAGTTTGATCCGTTTATTGCAATTAAATCACAGTAAAATGTTTACTTTGGGTTCATATAGCTGTGGTATTTGCGGATTGTGTTTATTCGCTTATCGCGTTGTATGTGAACACTCAGCATTGCAAGGATTAAATTTGCATTGCATGTGAACACACCATAACACACTGATCACCAGCAGCTGAACTGATGCCTCCTCAGTTCTCCCTCTTCTTCACACTGCAGCCTCCATCTTTTCTCGTCTACTTTCCTACAATTTTTACCAGTTTCCTTTCAGACAATGCACGTTCAAGCACACCTGTAACGTCACAACACACAAATACACTGCGTGGTCTTACCTTTGGGGGATACGCTACGTGACTTCTTGCTGTCAGAGGGACACTCACTGCTGCTGTTGGGAGAGAAGCTTCTCCTCTTGCCTAGAAGGTCATCTGTAAACACAGAGAGAGAGAGAGACAGAGAAAGAGCACTCAGTAAAAGGTCTGAAGTAAAAGCTTGAGATTGCAGCTCTGCTCTGTGTCTACCTGTATACATGGCGGCTACTTTCGATATGCAGAGTTGGAAAAGAGAGAGTGTGAAAAGGAGCCAAAGAGAAAAAAAAGTGAAAGGTGGAGGGAGGGAGAGAAACAGAGCGAGTGAAGCAAGCCACGGGCGTCTGGAGATGTGCCTGTTCTGTCAGATATAAGAGGGGGGCCTGCGCCACCGTGGATGACAGATCTGCCCGGCTCATTCACGTGCGTGTGTGTGTGTCTGTCTGTCTGTCTGTCTGTCTGTTTGAGGGAGGGCTCCGTCTCTCTGTGTCTCTTCCAAGGTCCCTTTCCAACAGTCTGTCCTCAAGTGTTATCACTGTTCTTCCTTTCTCTCCTCTCTCCTTTCTTCTCTTTTTCCAGATGTTGGCACAAAAGCCTCTGACAGGACTAAAGTGCATGGGAGCCTCTCAGCTGCTTGAGAAATTCCTGTCAGCCTACATTATGTCTATATCATGTGTTTATTTTTAGTTTTTGTACCTCCACGGCAGCCACTCGTGTTGCTGTCCTCCCCTCATAAACACACTTCTGATCTTCTTGTCTCATTTCTCCATCTGCTTCCTTCTCTTGTTATTGAAACCTCCTGCCATCAGGAGTTCTCGCTCTCTCCTCCCATTAACACCTACCCTGCCTCCTCCTCTTCCTCCCCCCTACCACCTCCCCTGCCACCAAAGAGGAGCAGCTAGTGTACAATTACAGCACCCCTACTGCCTCCTCCTCCCCTCTCATCCCTTTCTTCCTTCCCGCCCAATCGCCTCACCCCCATCCCCCTCAAACACACCTCAAATCAATACGGGCCTAATCACAGAGGGAGGGGATGCAGAGCACATTGCACGCAGCGCCGGCAGGAAGGAAAAAGCCGTTTGTCATTGCTCTATCTCTCGCTCTCTTTCGTTCTTTCTCTGTTTCTATCTGGCGCTCCTCTGCTTTTTCTCTCACTCAGTTTCTTCCTCCACACAGACAGCCAAGCCACAGCAGCAACTGCTTCCCTTCTTGCTCTTTTTTTTCTCACTTTCTCTCTCTCTCACTTCTCGGTGCGTATATTTAGGGACGGGGTGGCGGGTAGGGGGCTTTTCTCCCCTTCCCTCAAGGAGAATGGTTTCTCTCTCCCTCTGTCTCTCTTTTTCAACAAAGCAATTTTTCATCATTTGCACAGCATGTGTAAACAGTGCGGAAAAACAGTGTACAGGGGGTAAAAAAAACAACAACGCAATTTGGTGACAATACCCAAGCAAACATTTGCCGATTTCTGTCATGTGTCCGCCCCTGATATTGTTGTTACCTTAGCAACGGGCAGACAGTCACCAAGAGAGGAGTGACGCTGGAGTGGAGCCTGATCTTTAACCTTTCACCTATCACCCTAACTTATGTACTTTCTTCTCTATAACAAGACACAGACGGACAGGGAGGGGAAAGAGACAGAAAGAGATGTAGACAGGACTCGAGGATTTTGTGGGCTGCTGAAGGAGCCCTGGTGTTGATGAGAGGGCGAGCGGGCAAACGAGAAAGGGAGAGAGAGAGGAGGTTCACTAATGATCCAGTGTTTGATGTTGCCTCTCAGGTCCTGAGGAGATCCACTCCCTGTACCATCCTAAAGAGACAGTGAGGGGAGGGGGGAGCGCTAATGGACAAGTGTGCGCACGCACACACACACTGAATTTTTCTGTCATCTCCTTTATGATCTCTCATTCTGTTTTTCTTCTCATTTTCAAATCGTGTTCAGTACATTACTTTTCACTGGTCCATTAAAAAAAAGGTCTCCATCTATCCTATTAGTGGAATATTAACAAAGAGAGAGGGAGAACCCCCATTAGTTAAACCCCCTCTTCCACCAAACACACACACCCACACCCAGAGCCTCTCATGATCAAACACACACACTTGAGTCGTCTCTTGAGCCGACCTCACTCAAGACACTGCGTCTCCTGAACGTGTGCCAGAGGGCCAGAGATTTGAGGGCGGAAAGCTTTTAAAGCCAATTAAATGGGGCTTCTTAGAGCACTGGCGCTCCCTTTTAATGCCGAACCCTGAGCTCTGCTAGCGTCTATGCTAACCCTTTTACTCCCACTAATACTGCTTACACCAAGTTTGTTACCCCAGGCATTTCCCTATCACCTGCTTGTTCATTTTGCTGAAGAATTAGTGGTTATGGAGTCAGGAGTTTTATTTTAGCTTCAAGGCTGTGATTTTAACTATCAAAACAGAGCAATAATTAAGTGTGAATAGCATTAGCTGCTATGATAAATTCCCCTGTTTTTTGCCATTCTTGGTCAACACAGTCTACAGGCTAACTTTATTTTTCTAAAAAGTCAACCTAAACATGGAATATTCTAGCCTCTGCCTCAGTTCCTCCTTATCTGCTGTTCCTCCTACTGAGAGAAAAGAGGGATGAAAACAGAGGAACAGATAGAGAAAGAGGAAACAGCAGGACCTAAACCACTTCTCTTTCATGTGACACCAACAGGGCGAACCATCAGGCAGGGGGAACATTCCTCTTTCTTTCTTACTCTCTGATTTCCTCTGCTCCCTCAAACTTTAGTCCTCTTACACTCCTCTCTCCATCCCATGGAGCGTGATGACAGCTCAGACAGCCAGACTCCTTAATTCCTCTCTTACTCCGTTAATCTGTCATCTTTATCAGGCCGGGAAGGGGGGGCGGTGCAGAGAGAGGGTGGGGGTGTGGGGGGTGACAGGCGGGGACGTGGGGTGGGCCGCCAGCCGCAGCCCCCCGATCAATCTCCACATTACAGCTGACAGAATGGTGCTAATAACTTATTGATCCCCCCTCCGTGCGCCGGGGCCTCCGCCGGCCCTGAAAGCCCTTCCATTGATTGGCTTACAGGCCGATGCAGCTGGGAGAGGGAGGGGAAGAGGAGGAGGAGGAACGGGGATGGGTGATGGAGATGGAGAGAGGCGCTTCTGCTCACACTGAGGGGAGGATGCGCCACTGCCAACACGCACAGTAACACTGCTCCATACACTGCCCCTCTGTTTGTCATGTTCTATGTCTTTCAACAGGAAGAGAGAAATTAAGAAAGGGGGAGAGAGAAGAACACTAAAGAAGAATGGAAATTATTGCAAGAACATTAGTGGATATGAATTTGTGGTCAACTAACTAATATATTGCTGACCTTAAAGTAATTGTCACATAAAAATCTCTTTTGCATCTCAGTATAGTTATGCAACAAAATAAAAATTAAACCTGCAATCTTTTATTTTTGTCGTTCTAAAGCGCTTCTGTCGGCTACAGTAGGTCCCTCCTGTAAATACTGTGCGTGAGCAGGTGGTGATGCGCAAGAACTGATGTTTCCATCAACAGATAGTTGTAGAGCACAATTCACTTTTGAGTTTGTTTCAAAAAAACCTTTATAACTCAATCAAGATGGACAGAACAGGGATGGACACAACAATAACCCTCAGTGAATTATAAAAGGTGTTTCTGGCCTTAACATAACTTGCACCTCATAATGAAATCTTTTAGATGAGGAAATAAAAAAATAATACAAGTATAACTGTTTTTAATCGCCTTCTGCCATTCTTGTCTAATTATTCTGTGTCTGTCATCTCAGTGTTCGTCTGTCTTTTTCTGCTTACAGTAGCTTTTGCAAGACAACCAGAATGCGATAATTATATTATTAACAAAACCATAAGACAGAGTATTAGAGTCACATTAAGAGTTGGAAAAATTTAAGAATTAAGTCGAAATGTCGAGAATAAAGTTAAAAAGATACTTTATTCTATACTTTATTCTAACTTTATTCTCATCATGTTGACTTTATTCTCGACATTTCCACTTTATCTCAAAATGCAAAATAAATAAAAAATCTTTATCCTCAATTGTTTCCCCCCTTAATGTGGCCCTAATACGCTGTAGTAAAACAATGCCTCAGCCATAGGTTATACATGTTTTACAAGTTTAGTGACAATACTGTGTTTAGTTACTTTCATTAGGGAAAGTGTTACTTGGCAATGCATTACCCTGAACGCCAAAATTTACACATTTAAATTTTAAGAATAAGGGCGTCAAAGTACAGCTGACGCTTCTCGATTATTAAGTGACTTTTGTGAAATGAAATGTAAAAAAGCACACAATAACAGGACTTTCTAACTGAAGTAACTGAAAACCTCTGTTTGGTTTCCTTTAAGTGCACTGAAAGTAAGAAAAAAGTATTTATTTTCACTATTAACTGGAATTTATTTTTTGTCATTGTAAATTTAATCTCTTGGCAGAAGCATTAGCATGTCTTTATGAACAATAACCCTGAGAAGCCATTTTGTTATGGCAGTAAAATTACATTCCTATTAAGTAGGGGGATGTTTTAAAATATTTACAACCCACATTTCCCTTTTTTGCTTCTGTATGACTAATATCATCAGAAATCCTGGGGTGTTTACTTTCGTTTGGAATTGCCTGTCTATGCTAATCATGTAATAACTAGCTGGTAAAACTTTAAAAGCAATCCTCACTTACGATCAGTTTGAAAAAAAAAAAAAACAGGTCTTGCACTAACACGCTTGCCTGCAGATTCACACGCAAGCAAACATCTAAAACCAGGCATTTAAAACCACACGCAGAAAGGTGCACATGCTCAAACACACACACACAAAATGTGCTCAAGCCCAAAACCACCGCTACAACCCCCAACCACACACACCGACAGGCTGTAACTGCCTCTGGGAGTCTGAGTGGAGGGAGCAGAGGAGAGAGAGTGGCGGTCCAAAACACCTTATCTGCCTGTTTGAGTCTCCGGTCTGACCGCAGAGCCACGGTTTACAGTCTCCACAGGCAGCCAGACTCTCAGCGTCGGCGCCCCTGCTCTCCCTCTCCCTCCCTCCTCTCCTTCCCCCCTCCCTCCCCCCACCTCTCACAGAGCCTCTGAATAGCCAGCGGCTGGGGAGTGAGAGAGCGAATGAGGGAGGGATGGAGAGGAGAAGGGAAGGAGGGAGGCAGCCCTCCTGTCTGTCCCTCAGATTTAATTAACGGCCCACTCCGGCGCAGAGACGACCCAGCAAGCCTGCTTCCCTTTCCTCCTGACCCACACACACACACACGTGCACACCCACACACAAACACACAGAGCCTTCCTCCGCCATAGCTGCCGCCTGCCCTCCCCTGATACCACCACCGCACTCATTCATCTTTCTTTCCTCTGTCTCTCTACTTCCAAATGTTTCTTCCATCACTGCAGCCCAGTCTCGCTCTCTGTTGCAGACTTTTGTTCCTTTTCTTTTCTCTTTTTGATCTTTTCTTCCGTCCTATCTCTCGGATTCTCTCCCGCCACTGTTCATTGATAGACGTTAAAGACTTTTGGAAGATAAGTCAAACAAGAAAGTTGACTGACCGAAGAGAGTAAACACAATATTATAGGCAGCGAGCTGTGTTTACCGTCAAATAATCCACTGCTCTAAAACTTCACAGACATTACACCCACCTATGTATTTGGAGGCAAATTTGAACCTGTGTTGATTTTGCGTGGGCACGCATCTGTATAAGTATGTGTTATTTGTGTGTAATTGTGTGTTTGTGAACGTGTGTGCATCTAATTTCACTGGCAGACACAATTAGAGCCTGTGGCTGATCGGATTGGACTTATTTACAGACACGAGCGAGCCGCTTAGGCAGCCTGTTAAATCTCCCTTAAATGGTCAAACGGACAGATTTGAGGGACTTGGACTCCCCTCTGTCTTAGGCTATTCTGCGCTCACCCCCTACTCCTTCACCCCTCACCCACCCACCTCAATCCCATTGTGTCTTCCCTCATTAAGATAACTACTCTGGCCTCTGATTTCTCCATTAAGTTTAGCAACTGATTAGGCCAGTATTTGGGTGGAAATCCGTCCCAAACCGGGGTTTTAAGACACTGGCTGGCCTGGCTGTTGAGCAGTCTAATACCCTCCACCTTCCACCCACCCTGCCTGATATCACAGGCACCGTATGGACAATTAATCTGGCAGACAGGGAATATGAGCACACAGAGAGAGGGTATGGAGGTGACGGGTCTGAGATGATTATGGCACTTGCTGTGCCTCTGGCTAACAGTAGAAGATGGGACAGGGTCAAACCATGAGCAACAGTGGAGCAATGGTATGGTCTTCACTGATAAAAAGGCAACTCATTTCTTATTTAGGGGTAAATGTGTTTGTTTAAAAAGTGTTTGGGTTTGCTGATGGAATGTTTTTAATTCAGCTGATTCTTTTTTCAGGATCAATATATTTCAAAAAGTCAGAGTAGATCTTAAAAATCTTAACTATCATAGTCTAACATTGGTTATAATTACAGTTATGCATACTAAACTGACTTCCATGTTGGAGAGCATAGAGAAAAGACATCCAGACAAGCATTTTAATGTGGAATAAATAATATAAGAGCCTGCAACAACATTAAAATTTGCATATTGTAAAATCAACACCAAAAGTTGAGACAAAGTCCATAGCAAAACCCAGGACCTCATATACCAGTTCAGTAAGTATTGAAAAAAATACAATTTTATTAGGCAATAATATGATAATGTGAAAAGCTTGTTTAGGTTGCTGGGGAAGCATTGTTGCTTTCAATCATACCTTGTTGGGACAGAGAAAACTACAAACCAAGTGTAGCAGAAACATCCAGTGCAGTAGGTTGATCGCTGAATAGTGATATCCACAGAGGCTGTTTTATAACCATATGTCTTTGATGGCTGCACAATATCCCCATACAAGCTACTTGACAAATAGCTGTGATTAAATGTCTGTCTGTGTTCTGTCTGTAAGCTGTAAGAAAAGCTCTTTGCACACGCACACCGTGGTTCCTCTGCTCACATGAAACTGGATTAATGGCAAACAAAGCTATTTATTCAGAGGTAATTTAAAACAGGGGGTTTAACAAAAATCCTTGAGTGCGGCAGAGAATTTGGGAAGAACATTAAGTAATCAACTTGAGAGTGACCTTCAGGAATGAGTAATACGCTTATGTTAAAGTCCCCCAATCACACAAATTAGAGTAAATTAAATGGGTTACGGGAGATGTAAAGGTGGATATATCAGCGGTCTGGATGCAAAGGAAGAAAGAGACAAAGAGATGAAAAAGGACAGAGAAATAATCCTGACAAACCTTTAAACACACACACACACACACACACACACACGCACGCACGCACGCAACACGCACACTATGCATTACTGGGGGTCCTACCTGTGTGTCCAGTACTGGTGTTATGGTCAGAGGCTGACTGGCCCTCGGGCATGCCGTGCTGTCTGGTGTGGTGCAGGTTGGAGATGATTGTAGAGAGGTCACTGTCACGACTGTAACACACACACACACACACAAGAAAGAAGAGGATAAACAAGTTTAAAAGCAGCTCCAAACAAACTTAACTCCAAAATGCAATCCAAACCAGTATGCGATAAAGCAGCAGCGCATAAAGTCATACTATTTCACACACTACTTACCGCAGCAATCCTCCATCCAAACAGCACTGTCTCTAAAATGCATACCTCCACACAGACTCAGCAGCTACAAGTGGCTGTCCTGTCAACTGGCTCTTAGCTCTGAGGTGTGTAATGCACTCTGACAGACTACCGCATCCAGCACTTTTGGGTCTCATCCCTACTCATCTTCCACACTAAGATGTATTAACGAACATATTCACAAGTCATAAGTAGTTTAGCAGCTTAAAACCTGATTATGGCTCTTTTTAAACTCAGGCCGCCAACGGTTGTTTCAGAGAAATATGGCAATTGAATAATAGGAGGAGACAGATGATGAACATTTAAGATAAAACAAATTAGCAATCAAGCTTTGAGCAAGTCTTACTTACTTATTAGGAATGTAACGTTAAAAGACAACACAATGAATCTGTGGTATATGACACCGGCATTTAAGGTCATCTTTTCTAATGCCATGTCTACACGCACCAAAACTGCACACTAGAGTCTCTCAAACACCATGTTCTGCCCTTCAGCGCCCAAAGGAGGAGCAGGAGGAGGGTTTACAGATTAGGCCCAGATCTGGTTGGAGCCTCTCTGCCCTTCCGAATGCTCTACCAGCCACCTCTCTAACCTCCCCACACCAGTCGACCCACACAACTGTGTCATGGAGGTATTTCATTTGCAATCTGATTACCATCCTGATCGCATTAAATGGCATAATGATGGGAAGTAGACGCTTAGAGTTTGAGGGGAGTATAGCAGCAGTGCAGTGCAAGTGTAGTCACAGTGTAATGGCAAAAAGCTTGAGGGGTCAGGAGAGGTGCGGGGCTGAATATTTCTTAGGTAATGATCTAAACATAATGTATTGTTAAATGAATGTGACATACATGCTACATGGAAGAGCACTCCAAAGCCCAGCAGAACAGGAAAGCTAATTTTGAACACAAAATAAGCCTGAAAACGTGCAGTATTTCAACATGTCAGCAGGAATCTCGTTTATAGGCTTAACTGGCAACTTTATTGAAAGCAGAATCATCTATGAAGGGGGTCTGGTATGACACAGCAAGCCCAGTTTATAGGACAGAAGCGGTGAATGGTTCTTAGCTGCCACCACTATGACGAGGCCACACTGTTTGCGGCTGCTGGATTTGGGTTTTTACAGTCCCATGATTACAGGCCCCCGCTGTAATGTCAGGCTGTCGGCCGCCAAGCTGTTTTCCACACGCTAACAGAAAAGATGAAGGAAAGCATAGAAGGCCCTAATGCTGGCCATGCCGGCTACACCAGTCACCTTTCAGTCACAGAGAAGCAATGACTCAGAAAACAGTCTTAGACAAAACAATCACCACCGGTTGCTAAGCAAGGAGACGCTTGATTGGACTGTGACTGCAAACGTTTTAGACTAATGACAGACCTGTTTCTTAGAGTGTAACTTGCTAAAATTAGTAGCTATCTGTGTCTGAGAGCTCAATGGTTTTCTTCAAAAAGAAAATGAGATGCAGGGGAGGTTGTTTTTTTTAAATTGTGCTTAAAGTCGTATAATAATGTATCAGCGTCAGCCAGTGACTCCAACAAAACACACATCACACACACTGCAGTTACACATTCCACTGTGTGAAATTGCAGCCAAATCCATCCATCAACTGGCTGCGTTATAACACCACCCTCTGTCCATCATTTAAAGTGATCATGATAATGCCATCCTGAACTTCTCAGAGAGGTGATGGGGTTATTATCCTGTAGCGAAGTGGCCGCTCTAAGCCATGAACGGCAAGGACATTGTTAGTGGGGTAATTAGTGCACTTTTCCTGAGCTGTCCCGCCTCGGCTTGGGCTAATGAGGGCCTAACCCTATCTCCACCCACCCCTGCCCTCCCTCAATCCCCTCCCCCTCTCTTTCCCTGGGTGGAGGCAAGGTCATACTCAATCCCTGGAAGATGGGGATGTTTAAAACCCAGTCACCTGAGTCAGCGCTCCCTAAGGAGCTCCTAAGGCCGGGGGTTAGCTGGGAAGGACGGGGGCCTCGGAGAGGATGGAGGGGGGGTTACATTGTGGCTGTTGGGCCTGATAGCTAAGAGGGACATGAGCTGTCTTCTTATCATCCAAGTGCACACCGGAGACAATCATCTCATCCTCAGCTCATCCCTAAACTGGTCAATAGTCATCCCCGGCCACAGGACAGACACTCTGACCCAGATACTGGATAACTAATATGTGTTAATACTCTGCCATGGATACTACAGGTATCCAACATAACTGGAAAGATACCACAAACTCTTTATAAGTAATACGAATTTTACTAAAGTGACTATATTGTTTTCCTGATTGAGAACAGGGGGGGGGGGGAATAATCCAACAAAGCATTTGATGTGCGCTGAAACTTGAAACTTTTTTGACACCCGATGCTACAGATACATTTCAGCCAATATCAGCCCTAACTTCTACTGCTGTTTTATTTCAATACTTCTAGTCTATGCGTTTTAAACACACTAATCCTTGATTCATATCACTTATCAGAGTCACCGCTACTCAGTATTACAATATGTTGTGAATAATTAAATAAAATCATTCTGTATTGATAAATAAGGCATCTCAATAAAACAATAAATTAAAATGCCACAAAAATGGCCAGTATTCCTGTCTGCCAGATCAGTGTCTGGGGCTCTTCCTTTTGTTATGATAAGGTTGTGTTCCCTTCTACTCTTACAGTAGGCGTTACCATTCCAAATGGTCCACGCAACATGAAAAGACTCTTCTCCTGGCACTGGGAGTCGACTCAGTACAAATGCCCAGTAGTGGCCTGCTGTGGCATTGGCACGCGGAGCTGAGGTGGCGGAGCTGGAGGTCACAGTGTGAGCTGGCAGAAGCTGGCAGCCCAGGCACCCTGACGCCATGTCTCACACCACCACTGGGAAAGTGCTGACAGACAGACAGCAGGGATGTGAAGGTGGAGGAGGGGAGAGAGAGAGAGAGAGAGACACAGGTCGAGCGCTGTGTAACATCTGGTGCTCGCAGCTTTACTGTGTACCCTCCTCTGCTCTCAAGACAACAGCCTGAACACACAGCCTACTCCAACCTGCACAGGTGGCCCACAGCAACATTCAAACACTACCAGGCAATATGTAATATTCAACAACCGCTGCATAGTAAGATATGGACTTGGGCAATATGCTGAGAAAAAGAGAGAATGATTAAAGTTTCTCTGATGCTCTACAGGGGGAAAAACTACAATCCACGTCTCTTATTTAGGAAATACTTTTAGTTTAGGATACAAAGCTTAAATCAGGAATATGGGCCTGTTCTGTGTACATTTTATGTTTTGTCTGATTCCTATGAGTAATGGAAACACAATTGTCATGCTGCTCACAATAGGATCGAAAGGCAACCCGCAACTGGGAACCCTGCAAGCAGAGGGGGTAATGAATAAATACAGAAATAGATACATAAATAAGTAAGAGTAGCCTGGCTTCACTTGGGCTTCGCTTCTCCTTGTTGTTCCTCTGCTGTACAGGCTGACACGAGGTCGATAAGGCAGCCAAGGGAGGAAAGAAAAGTACAATGGAAATAGAATATACGGTAAGTCCGCCATGTTGCATTTAGGTTCTGCTGTAGTGAGCCATGCACACGCTGCTGGTTTCACTGTTAATTTCTCCTCTGACGTTTCTCGTCTCGTTTTTCTAATTCAGAGTAATTGAATCAACAGTTTTAAGGAGCACATGGATTGAAAAGGAAATGATTTGTTATTTCTACAGTGTGATGCAACCCTTCCTCCTTTTCTATATGAAAGGCCAAAGCTCTTATTATCTTCAGCTAATTTCAACATACTGGAAGACAGCCCACGATGAATAGTAAACACTGTCTTCTTTATGTTCTTTGTGTGGAAATGATGAACCTCGTGCTTCAAGCCAACACCAAATCTGAGACTAAATGGCTGGAACACTGCTGACCATCTTTTTGTTGATCCTCTGTTTTCACAAGGAGTTAATAGACAAAACACTGCTCTATGTGAAAACAATGAACATCTTGCTACTAGCCAACGCCCAATCAACTACTAAATTGCTGTGACTCTGTTGCCATGGCAAACGCGTGTAAACAAGGCAAAAGATTCTTGAAGCGGAAAGCTCCTCTAGAAAGCTATAAAACCACCAAGCTTACTAATTAGGGCTTTAGGTGGAGAGCCATTTCCAGTAATTTCACACTGTCCGTGACCTCATGAGGCAATGACACAGTTGTTCAATAAAGCCAGAGGACAAAATGTCAAATGCAATAGACATACAGTAGCTAACCCAGCGTCAGTGTCTCTCTCTGTGGTTATGACACGGATTGAGTACAGCATCCATCCATTGACAACTATGAGCCAACACTGCTCCATGAAAAAAATCTGTTCATGCAGAGAGGCGAGTTGTGATATTAAGTCGTAATTCTTCTAAACATTTATGAATGTGAGCATCTTCAGTTTGCTTCTACTTGCACTAATCAGCTTCTTATCAGCGTGAATCTGCAACAAACAAACAGCACCGTAGCCACCGCAAAGAGCAATAAAGCTCACACCGCCTCAACATTTCACTGGGGGAAAAAACTAAATCAAGCAGGCAACAGTTCAAGGCTATAATCAGGTCTATCAAAATTACGCCCACAGTGACTTACACACTGTAAACATGTTGCTGAAGACAGAAATGCCAGTCAGTTAGATGGGATGTTAGTACTGTAGGTTGTGTTGAATTCAGTAGGTTGCTTGTTTTTATCAGCTTTACTCCCTGGTGATTGGATGAGCACAGGACAAGATGGTCCTTATGTAAGGTGGCCCAGCGATAGCCTCTGACAGGCAGAGTATGTTGAACAAAAACCAAACAGCTTGGTATGTTTTAATGCATTTGTAGGTCCGTGGTAAAGGTCTGCATATCTTACGACAGCTTCCCTCTTCCTACTTAATCCTCTAAAATAATAGTTTACCCTTTTGTAGAGGCATTTGCATATGTTAGTGAACAAGAAGCAAATGGCCTCATGCATGATTGAAAAACTGCCTTTGTTTGTTTAGCTGAATGTTAATAATGAGTAGGGTGGATTTTCTTTTTTTTCCCCTACAAGGCGCAGGCTGAAAGGCACACGTCAGCGGGTGTAACTTATAAAATCCGCAGTGGTTGCCGGGTAATTACCCAGACTCTCAGTCAGCACTTTTCAATCAAAGCTTTGTTATCTACGGCCAACTGAAGCAAACACCAAGGTAGGCTTTGTTTTGCCCTTGAGTAAGACACTAAAATCCTAACTTGCCTCCATCAAATATTTAGTCCCTGAGATGAAATCCATAAATCAGCGTTAACGAATCCACGTCAGACACAAACAATCTGCAGCACTGATACTAAGTACCAAAGTGATAACTAAACTTTCAGTTCCTGTTTTTTTGTTTTTGTTTTTTTTACAGAAGCCAAACCAGACTTTTCTTTGATACTCCAAAGAGTTCCGTACACACCTTATTGTGATAATGATTATTTGGTTAGTTCTGTGGCTTGGCTGCTATTCAGTCTCTAGATGCTCCGTGCTTATTCAGCAGGACAAGTGCAGATCTTTGGAGCACCAGGTAAACTACTTGTCTGTAAGCCAGCGACTCTTAACATTAATCTGGTTAAAAGAATGTGGACCGGTTTATAATGAACTTGAGAAGACGCCTGGATTAGAAAATCCTCTTAATACACAACGATCGGCCACCTGAACTAACCAAGCAATCTACACTGCAATGTTACACAAAGTGACAATATATATACTTAACTATACACTGAAATACTAGAGTATGAAGTATATCCTAAAGTGAACTTGATGCATGATGCATTATATTAAGATAAAAAAAATGGGATTAATAATTGACACATGCTGCTTGGAAATGTCCATGTAGATTAAAGTGCAGTTACAGTAGGCAGGTTCCAGCAACCAAGTGGGCGTGACACGGTGCTGCCACTATCCTTGATGATGTGTGGCGGAGACAGCACAGACACACTCACACATGTATACAGAGGCCCTGTATTTTTCACATCCATTGGCCAAATCCAATTTGTTAAGACCCTTCCACGACTCACTTACGAAGCTGCGGTCAATGGAAATCACATTTCCGTGATTGGACATCCCATTATCCTGTACGTCCAGACCTGCACTGGGGGATAAAGCAGGGTTGAGACGGATGCCCAGGACAGACCGGAGCTGCGGCTCCAGCGAGTCCGTCGCCTTTCAAAGGGTAAAAGCCTGACATATTAGTCATAAGTGTTCTTTAAATTCATTATCATCTTAACGCGCCAGCGGCACAAGTGTCAGGGGGAGGGGAGGCCCTCTTAAACGAGGTTAGTGGATCCATTTAAAGCTTCACAGTTGCTGTGCTGTCCGCCGTGTCACACGCAAGTCTCAAGACATGAAAAACATCCCCTCCTGTAATGAGGTTGCACAAGCTGCTTATAATGCAGCTGGGGATTTTCTGAGGTTAATCAATGAACAGCTTCTACATTATATCTGTCCATAGCCTAACTGATTTCTGAATCTTTAATGTACATACCAACTAATCCATGTGATGTTTATTCCAAATTGAAAACGTCATTTCACATGGATCAACTTACTGACTTCATGTTCCTAACAAAGCGTGTACGCCATCACAGAGAAGCAGCGCTATCCTGGGAGCCCATTTGATTCATCTTAATGAGGTGTACTCACTGTAACCCCGCATGTGTGTGTTCGCACGTATGAAGATGTGAACATGATTATTTACTTGAATCCAAACATGCATTTAGTAAATGCGTTCCACATTTTTATGATAAACACAATCTAATGTGTATACCACTCCTGGGCACTCTTCCCTACCCATTATTGTGGAAAATTTAATTTTGACAATTAGCCAAACAGTCATTCACTGACAGACACTAAAATGTGACATGTTTTGATTTCTGAATAAACTACCGGCATTTCTGAAAACATTTAAGTTGCATTCCTAATACATACCACATGTGGTATTTTTATTATGTTTGGTGCCTAAAAGTTCTCAAAAATGCAATACTGAAGCAAAACATTCCTGTTAAGTATTTTGCCATCCTCCTGATTAGGTTAAATTATCAAAAACAAGACTGTGTGAATGATGAGGATCCATAGACTGTTTATAGATACTGTAGGACTGTGCATGGGGCAGCATATGTGACACTTCTTATTAATACATAATCTTTTAAGATTTTTAATTTAGAAGCAGGGATAGATGCACATCAAGATGAAGTAGATTCTACAGCGAGCTATTTTATAACCATTTCAAAATGTTCTTTACACGTGAGCAGAAAAAGTCCAATAACATAACATAAAGACGTAACGACTTATATTTTACATTAAACACTATGATCAAACTACCTCCCAAGCGCAGCACAGGATGGGATGAAGTAGACAGTGGTGGTGACTCAGATGACTCAGTCTTTTAATATCAAGTCAAGACAGATACACTGAGGCTTGGCAGGAGCAACAAAACGCTAGCTTCGCACCCATCCTTCCATTAGACATCCCAAAGAAAAGGCCATTAGTATATTTTTGAAACACGGTTCTTTGTCTGTTCGTCTCAAAATGTGCCTTTATCACCTCTAAATTATCCTAAAATCACCTTTGATTAAAATACTACGCACACATGATGAGCCATTAAAAAAGTTCTGCTGAAGAAAAGCAAAGAAAACAGAGGTCTTATTACTGTTCATTATTTTTAATAAAAGTAACACCTCAGAGGCTAGCATGACATTTTCTTCTCATGGTGATGTCACTACAGAACGTACGCATTTTCCAGCCTGATAAAAGCCGACGCAATTACGACAATGTGCGTCATTGTCTACTAAACACACACAGAAAAAGTAAAGAAAATGTGAGAAGTGAAAAAAAAAGCTAAGAAGTCTGGGATATTAACTGATATCTTGTATCTGGTATAAAAATGACATGGGAAAAAAATGTCAAACATGCTTGTGGCCATGGCCACAGAAGTCATAGGTGCCTCACCTCTTTCTCATGATACTGTAATGCAACTCGTCCTCCTGTTTGATGTGGGCATGATCCCCACTGGCCCGCTCGCTGCCTTCACTGTCGTCACTGCTGAAGATGGAGGCCAGCTCCTTCTTGGGGACCCGGTTGGGAGGCAGGGGGATGGTGCGTTTCTCAGCCAAGCGCCCGCGGTTCTGCACAACAGGGCACACAGAGAAAGGCGACACTTGAAGCAACTGGATTCATATACAGGTTGTCAAATTGCTGAATCTGTTTTTTTGCTTGTGTTCAATCTATCTGCAGCATGTTATCTTTTCTTTTTATTATATCATTTCCACATGTCTTTTAAAGCTGCTGTTTACACATTTCGCCTTCTCGATGTGCCTCTCCTAGTATCCACAGCAATTCATTCTATTATCACGTGAGGGTCCTGCATACTCAGTCCCCCTTTCCCCTGCAGTCCTACGCCCCTGTTCTCAACTGTACCCAAGCGGGTACTTCTGCAGTCGCCAGGGGGTATGTGGAAAGTTCGTGAAGTAGCACAACTAATTTAAAAAAATAGAGATTGCAATTTCATCAAAAAATATATATCCACATGTTGAGTCAAATGTAACTCCTAACACTACACCTAAGATTAAGATGCACTATACATGAAAACTCTGCAAGCAAGCAAAGAAGTCTTTAACAGTTAGCTTTCAGAATAACCTTATCAGAACCTCATTTACAAGCTTCCAGCAAAAACTGGTTCAGCAGCTTTGTAGATATGTCAGTGTAACTGGCGTCCATGAGCTGAAACCAAAACAAAATAATCTGTAAGACTTATAGTCAGCCTCCAGCCAGTTTTCATCAAGCTGTGTGTCCGCTTTGTGTATGAGTTATATATATTAAATTAGCACTGAAAAAGCTCTCCAATACTCTATGTTAGGCCAGCTGGGTAAATAATTTGTAACCAGTAAAAGTAATGGAATGACAGAACTGATTGGGAGAAAAGTCGGTTGGTGAATTAAGTGTTTATTTTGCTCCAAAGCTGCCAGAAGTAAACAGAGAAAAGAAGGGATAAAGATGACAGTGTGGCCTAGGGGTGTTAGGAAGTGAAGCTGGGCGACCTTTAATGTGACCTGAAGAGGTCACTGCAGATTAACGTGGTCCTATCACAGAGAGGAGGGGGAGAGAGAGGAGAGAGAGGAGGAGCAGAGGAGTATAGATGGAGAGAAGAAGATATTGGGGGGGGGGGGGGGTGATTGGAGAAGAGCAGGGGAGGGAAAGGCTGAGAAGTAAAAGTTAACAGGGAAGAAAGGGAGATGTGAAGAGAAAAGGTGAGAGAAAATACAGAAATGAAAGACAATGTGATGAGTCAAAACATGAGAGAGAGAGAAAGCACCACAGAAGTAAGGTCCGTCCGGGGAGTGGACTTGGATTTGAAGCTGTTTTCCCCCTTCTCTCTCTTTCTCTCTCTCTCTCTCGGTGCCTGCACTCCCGGACGCCTTCAAGCCCTCCAGCTATCCCTTCCACCACACGCAACCCTGCTCTCAGCCATGCCTCCCCGCTCCCTCCTTCCCCCACTCCTTCCATCCCAGGAGGCGCGCCAGCATGAGTGGCAGGCGGGGGTGGGAGGAGGGATTTGGGGGCTCCTAGCCAAGAGGCAAACAGGTGCAGCCCCTCTAGAGTCTCTCAAATGGCAGACATTAGAAAGAGTTGGGGTATGGGAAGAGAGAGATGAAAACATCCCCCAGGATGAGCAGGCCACAGAGTTCTGCACTTCCTCTTTTTTTTATCATGCATTGCCAGAGAAGAGTTTTTTTCCCCCCTCCTTTCTTCTTTCCTGTTGAAGTTCTGCTCCAGCGTTTGAGGACAGTGGATCACTTTCCGATACTTCTGCTACTTCCACACAAGGCTGTAGGGAAGGTTATAGCCAAAGCTCCAACAGGGCGTTGGAGGGAGGAAGCGGGAGTGAAACATCACGTGAGAACAACACTTTCTATGGATGCCACCACACTTATATCTCTCAGACACACATCTTTTAAACACAAATTCTCCACCTCCATGTTTCTTTATTGATGTATTCACATTGTCAGGGAAAATACACAACTGCACATGCGCACTATCCTCACCACCTACACACACACATACGCATGCACACACTCACACACACACACCTGTTCCTGTTCCTTAGAATTCCCCTTCAAAGCGGGGGATTTTACTTGGAGCATGCCAGCAATACAGTGTATACAAGAATAGTTTGTCTAAGGCCAGTCGTGACTGTGGCTATGTGTGATAGTGTGTGAGCTTGTAGACAACCACCCACATGGCTGTGACATACCCAGGCTGACAGCCCCCTCCCCCCCCTTCCTCCCTCTTCTCTCCTCCCGGAAAGCCCCGATCCTTTCTTTAGTGGCACTGACGCATAACTGGGGGTGAGCTCCCACTGCTTCCGGCAACACTTCCGCAGCACGGGGGAGGGCTCTCCGAAACAAAACACGAAGCAAAACACACCCCTGGCAGCCCACGTAGGAGTGCTCAAAGGAAGGGCGCCTGAGCGCTCAGGCTCGTCCATGCTCGCACAAACACACACGCGTGTGCACAGAGCTGAGGCAACCTTACTGTGTGTGGTCAACCTCCTTTCAGCCATGGAAAAAAGTCTCTCATAAAAGTCCCACTAAAAGCACCTCTATGAATATCACCTCCCACGCTTTCTGTCTGACAGTCAGGCAGCCAAGAAATATATCTGGGCTTCACATTAACAAGCAAAAAAGGTTAAAATGGTGATTTCAGTACATGACAAACATTTAGAAACACTACCAATAAACATAAATGCCCTAATTCCTTCACATACATATGTTCATATAATACATAAATTCTCCAATAGATATTGTATGCTCTGAGAGTAAATCTAGAAGTTGAACTTGAACTGAAATGGCGAATGACTCATAAATTACTGCAAGTTTGATACTGTGACTTTTTGTTCATTATAGTTACATAACGTATTAACCAGCCATACTGACTTCTTGCCATTACCCAAGAGTGTATCTGTAGTGTATACAGTGTCTGCTTATCTAAGCCTACCTTACACAACACCATACACGTCCACCAATGTTGAACACCAACATTTAAAAAGTTCCATAATATAGAAATCTACCCAATATTCCACCATAATTATTGTATTTAGATTAAACATATTTATTGTCCACTCACGTGGAAATTTGTCTTTTTATACAACACATATTGCTGCAGTGATTTAGCATTACAGTTTATGGTAACCTCTTCCTGCATTACGCATCAAATCAGAGCCAGCCACAACACGTTACCTGAACTTTTACATTGTACAGTAAAATGATCCTGCTTTTCAAAATAATTTGGCACATTATAACTTTTCTGTTATGAATATATACTTTTTAAAAAGTACTACTGTCTTTTTTCTTCCATTTTTTTCATGTTTCGTTTAAAAAAAAGAAAGTATACTGAAGATGGCGGAGAATTAATTTGGAAAGATTTTATATAAATGCACAAATTTAAAGGGTTTGTAGTAGATCAATGCTGCAGTTTTAACTTTTGTGAATAATTTTCGCTACCTACCAAATTTCAAGTCTCTCAGACTCGAATGGCAATGAATGAATGAATGTGAGTGTGGTAGGCTGAGATTTTTAAAGTACTGGATACAACGTCATCTGGCCTCATAACATTTATTTAAGAGTCTTGAGAAATGGCAAGAAGTCAAAAGTACTTTGATATGGTATTTTAAGGGCCAAAAACATCATCTGCATATATTCTCATTTAATAGGTAGATATGTGTTATAAAGCTTTTTTATTTCAAAGAAAAACATTAATCCAGTGATTAGGTACGGTGAACAATGTCCTTATGTTATATATTTGCCATACAGGCTATACACAAACACACAACATATATGTTGTTGTTACTCATTAGGGTGGAGTCCTGAATTCACAAATATAAAAGCAACAAAATGCTCTTGTGAACAACAACAGGGGCTAATATCACAGCTACACATTGGCCAAGTAAAAGGCAATGTAATGTTTTCTCTCAAAAATTATTTCAGACTTTTAAATGAGCTCTTGGTTGGAAAAGAGGACTAATAAGTGTGTTTTTTTTTTTTTTTCTCCTTGCGTTATTTCCTGAAAGGTGCAGAACCCTGCCGCTGGCTCCAACCAGCATTAGCGTGCACACACACACATACACACACACACACACACAGCGGTAGCCGCCCGTGACATTCCTGCAGCTGCGGCGCTCTCTCTCCCTCGCACGCGCCCCCCCAGCGATCTCCCTGGGGGACGAATGCCTAATGAGTCACGCGCCTGTCTGCCGTTACCTCGCAGCGTGTGTGTGTGTGTGTGTGGAGGCGGGCAGACTTGGCGCGAGCACTAGGGGAAAGGGGGGAGGGGGATTGAGGAGACGACGGGGAATGAGAGAGGGGGAAAAAAACGAGCGTGAGGGAGGAGGGCGGGAGAAGCGGTCATTACCGTGCTCACGTAAGCGCTCTGAAACAAGACTATAACAAACAATTTGTCTGCTGTGTGTTTGTGTGAGCCTGAAATCCAGCTCTTCATAAAATACTAATTAGACATTCTTACTTTACTCCTTATCTGTGACTCACCCGCACAGAGAGCCTACGGCCTGAGATACTCACAGGTGCACCTATGAAAGGTGATTAGCTACAAATTTGTCAGCTTCCATCAAATTGAGATCGCTCAGTATGCAAACATGACCGCCATAACTGGATTACTGTGAATAATCAGATTGAAGTAATAGTTTGATTAAAGTGTTTACATGGTCTGCAGTAACCAGATTTCCCCAGTAACCCAATAATAAAGTTCATATGATGTGTTTGATAGTCAGGATAATGTCTGTAAGGATTTGTAGTGGCCATCTCTTACTGGTGCCACAAAAAAAGAAGAAAATGAAGAGACTGAGTTTGTGTTTATTGCTTTAGCTTTGATAAGTGCACCTTAAAATAATCTCTGTTACTTAGTGTTCAAATCATTTTGGTGTTTTCCTTTTCTTCACCACAAGCCATGACGCTGTTTTGTTTATAGAAGCACCCATTTGCATCCACCTTACTCCACGAGCTATAAATATTATAAATATAATAAATAAATCAGACAAGGGCACACTATACTGTCTTACAGGCCTGCAGAAACACAGGCAAGCATTATATTTGCCTGATCTGGTTATACTGAA